TTTAAGCTTATGACCACAATTCTTACCAATGCCACAAAGTGGGATCAGGAACTGTATGAACACTTCCATCAAGTAGTGACAACAAACAGGAGGAATGTCTAGGAAGGTAATCCTCTGACTGTGAATCTTGAACCCTGTGTTGGGGTGATTGTCACCTGAAAGCTGAATCCCCGTGTTCATCCCTTCATCCCTTTTGATGTGGCAGGTGATTGAGTAGAAGGCTACTGAGGTGTTGCTGGGGTGGTACTCTTGTCTCACCTGAGATCCAGAGTAAAAGCAGTTATGCTCAACTTGAAGGTTGGCAGCTAGGAAGAACAGATAAAGAGCTATAATCCCTAAAATAGTAGAAATCAACTGAAGCAGTAAAAACATACTGTCAAAACAAGTAATGTGGGTTTGTCTTCCCCTAGGCAATAAAGCAGGTCTAAGATCTTGGCATTTGGATTTCTTAGATATTGCTTGTTCATCCACCTCAAATGTAACTGTCCTTTTGTCTTGATTTCTATGCTGAGTTTCACAAAGCTCAGGAATAATGTACACAGTTCAAGTTCAACTCCTGAGTAAGAACAGTTCTTAATGAACATTTTAGACACTATACTGCATGTCCCACAGGAGATTCCCATGCTGATCAGGTGGCACAGTGTCTCAGCGGTTAGCACTGCTGCCTCACAGTGCCAGTGACCTGGATTTGATTCCCCCCTCAGGAGACTGTCTGTATAAAATCATAGAATCCCTACAGTGTGGAAGCAGGCCATTCGGCCCATTGAGTCCACACCAACCCTCCAAAGAGTATTCCACCCATATCCATTCCTATCCCTATAACCCTGAATTTTCATATGGCCAATCCACCCAACCTGCACATCCTTGGAGTTTTCACATTTTCCCCATGTCTGCATGGGTTTGATTTCTTCCCTCAGTCCAAACATGCACAGGCTAGGTGGATTAGCGATGGAAAACACAGGATTACAGGGTTAGGGTAGGGGGGTGGGTCAGGATGGATGCTCTTTGGAGGGTCACTGTGAACTTGATGGGCTGAATGTCCTGCTTCCACAATGTGGGGATCCTATGATTCTATGATCATGCTCTGGTTAAAGACAGAGGACAGTGGGTTACTGCTTGCTCCCAAGAAACAGGCACTTTGAGCCCATTTAACTGTGTTCCTGCTTGTAAACTCGCTCACTTTTTGCAGTTAAAATCCCCCTTCCTCTCCCTCAGACTCTACTCCTTATTGTAATTTCCTTGCTGTCCTTTTCCTCAAAGACTTTGTGTACAACTGTATCTGCATATGTCTTTCTACAACTGCCTGTTCCTTTGCCTCTTTTCTTTCTCACTCAGTCCCTCAATTTTTTTAGAATCCCTACCATGTAGAAACAGGCTATTCGGTCCAAAATGTTCCACGCCAACTCTCTGAAGAGCATCCCACCCAGACACATCCCCCTACCCTGTCCCTGTAACCCTGCATTTCCCAAGGTTAATGCACCTTACCAACACATCCCTGAACACTAGAGGGAATTTAGCATGGCCAAATCACCTAACGTGCACATCTTTGGACTGTGGGAGGATCTGAATTATACCCATTCTGAATTTCATAAGAATTAGGAGCAGGAGTAGGCAATTCAGTCCCTCCAGCCTGCTCTGTCTTTTAATATGGACATGGCTGATTTCATATCTGCCTCAACATCACTCTCCTGCCTTCTCTCCATAACTCTTTAAACCATTACTAATTAAAAATCTATCTATCTCTTCCTTAAATTTACTCAATATCCCAGTAGCCATCACATTCTGGTAGTGAATTCCACAGATTTACAAGTCCTTGAGAGAAATAATTTCTCCTCATCTCTGTTTTAAATCTCCTATGCCTTATCCTAAAACTCTGACCTCTCAGTCTAGATTGTCCACTTTACGTCTTTTTTGTCAATCCCCTTAAGCATCTTATACACTTCGATCAGATCTTGCATTTTTTTCAACTCTTGTCTAAACTGCTCAATCTCTCTTCATAAACCAAACCCCTCATCTCTGGACTCAAACTATTAAACCTCCTCTGAACTGCCTTCAATGCAACTACATCCCTCCTCAAGTAAGGGTATCAAAATTACTTGCAGTCATCAAAGTGCAGTCTCAATAATGCCTTGTACCTTTGCAGCAACACTTCCCTACTTTTATGCTCTTTTCCTTTCGCAATAAATGCTAAAATTCCACTCTCCTTCCTTATTACCTGCTTCACCTGCATACTGGTTTTCTGTGATTCATGCATAAGGACATCCAGATCTCTGTGTACTGAAGCATTCTGAGGTTTCTCTATATTTAAATATGTTGTTTCTCAGTTCCTCTGAGCAAAATGGATAACCTCACATTTATCCACATTAAACTTTATCTGACAAATGTTGGCCCAATCACCCAACCTTTCCATTTGAAAATGTCTTATTTTTTTCTTTTCCACCTTTTTTGTGTCACACTTACAGTATTGCATTCAATTCTGGTCACCACATTCTGTGAATGATATGGAGGCTTTGGAGTGGGTGCAGAAGAGGTTTACCAGGATGCTGCCTGAATTAGAGTCTATGAGCTATAAGGAGAGGCTAGAAAAACTCGGGTTGTTTTCTCTGGAGGAGCAGAGGCCGAGGGGAGACTTGATAGCAGTCTGTAAAATTTTGAGATGCATAGACAGTCAGAATCTTTTTCCCAGAGTTGAAATGTCTAACACTAGGGGCCATGCATCTAAGGTGAGAGAGGGAATGTTCAAGAGAGATGTGAAGAACAAATTTTTTACACAGAGTGGTAGGAATCTCGAAAGCGCTGCTGGGGCGGTGGTGGAGGCAGATACGATAGGGGCATTTAAGAGACTTTTAGAAAAGCACATGAATATCAAAGAATGGAGGGATATGAACCAAGGGCAGGCAGAAGTGATTAATTTGGCGTCATGTTCAGCATAACATCGTGGGCCGAAGGCCCTGTTCCTGTGCAGTACAGTTCTATGTTCTATCTGCGAATTTGGCTATAGTACTTTCTATCCCTGCATCCAAGACATTAGCATAGATTATAAATAGTTGGGGACCTGAGAACTGAATCCTGTGGCACACACACATTTTGCCAACCAGAAAAAGACCAACTCTTTGCTTTTGGTTGGTTAGAACATAAGAACTAGGAGCAGGAGTAGGCCGTCTGGCCCTTCGAGCCTGCTCCGCCATTCAATAAGATCATGGCTGATCCTTTCGTGGACTCAGATCCACTTACCCGCGTTCTCACCGTATCCCCTAATTCCTTTATTGTTCAAAAAAAATCTACCTTTTTTCTAAAAACATTTACTGAAGTAGCGTCAACTACTTCACTGGGCAAGGAATTCCATAGATTAACAACCCTCTGGGTGAAGAAATTCCTTCTCAGTTCAGTCCTAAATCTGCTCCCTCTAATCTTGAGGCTATGCCCTCTTGTCCTAGCTTCACCTGCCAGTAGAAACATCCTCTCTACTTCTATCTTATCTATTCCCTTCATAATTTTATATGTTTCTATAAGATAACCCCCTCAATCTTCTGAATTCCAATGAATATAATCCCAATCTACTCAGTCTCTCCTCATAAACCAACCCCCTCAACTCCAGAATCAACCTAGTGAACCTCCTTTGCAACCTCTCCAGTGCCAATACATCCTTTCTCAAGTAAGGAGACCAAAACTGCACACAGTACTCCAGGTGTGGCCTCAGCAGCACCTTGTACAGCTGCAACATAACCTCTCTGCTTTTAATTTCAATCCCTTTAGCAATGAAGGACAAAATTCCATTTGCCTTCCTAATTACTTGTTGTACCTGCAGACCTACCTTCTGTGATTCATGCACAAGGACACCCAGGTCCCTCTGCATAGCAGCATGCTGCAACTTTTTACCATTCAAGTAATAATCCTTTTTACTATTACTCCTACCAAAATGTATGACTTCACATTTATTTACATTGTATTCCATCTGCCAGACCTTTGCCCACTCACTCAATGTACCTATGTTCCTCTGCAAAGTTTCACAGTCCTCTGCACACTTTGCTTTGCCACTCATCTTAGTGTCATCTGCAAACTTTGACACCCTACACGGGTCAATGCTCTACCAAGCTAATAAATTACCCCCAATCCTGTGTGATCTGACTATTAATCTTTTGTGTGGCACTTTATTAAATGTCTTCTGGAAATGCAAATATACTGAATCTACAGGATCTCCATTATCTACTTGTCTTGTTATATCTTAAAAGAACTCTTCCTTGTTATATCTTAAAAAAACCCTTCATAAAACCATGCTGACTCTGATGAATTGTGTTCTGATTTTGCAAATGTCCTATTATTACTTTCTGAATAATGGATTCTAAATATTTCCTAAATATAGTATTCCATCAATATGGTAACAGGAAAACTCAAAATTCCTTATGTAACAGCCGTCTGATGCACTTATTTCAGTATTTAGATACTTTTAATGGCATCATAATTATTTCATCAAAATTCTGAAAAGCAGATGACTCCAATGGGACTTCCAATGTATTGTAACAAAATCAAATAAATAAAAGCATCATGAAAAGAATGTGTGCTGTTTTAGCTTAGTTTGTATGAAATTTACCATGTAGATATGTTATCAGCATTAGGACTCATTTCAGGGCGTGTACAGCATTTGGCAGTTGTCCAGTGTACAAGTTATCAGTCTCAAAAGAGAGCCAGGAAGGAGGCATGAAAGAAAGAAAGAAGTCGATGCAAATTAAAATAATTTCCAGACACTGTGAGCATAATGCAATAATAGCATGGGACTGTGCATGACTTTCTTCAGATGAAAAGACAGTGGCAGACTTCGTGACAAAAATGTGTAACATTTCACTCCAGGACCTGCGTTGTGGACTCTGAGTTTGGGTTGTAAAGATCTTTAGCAGCCAATCCAATTCATATAAGTTTTAGTAGAGAATAATGACAGTGTTGTAGCAGACACTGCTTTGAAGTGACATTGTATACAGAATGATCCTAATCTTTTTACACAGGCGATTAAGCCAGAGGCCAACCGCAGAGGAACTGGAACAACGAAACATCCTGAAACGTAAGTATTGATGCCTCTTTATGAAAATCTGATAAAATATTAAGCTCCAATGCAGTAGGTATAAAGTGCCAAATGCTGCTTCTCACTGTCCTAATTGCTAAATAAAGACAAAAGAGGTTTGAATTTCTGTTGCTGGGAAAGCTGTATTTTGACCTGATATCCATATGGTATTCCAATGTGGTTTATCTTCTGTCATTAGAAAATAAGTTACTTCTGCATTGTTATGAAAGTAATAAATAGTGCAATGCCTTGTGAAAAACTGGCATTCTACACCCTGTAGTCAAACCTCCAAAAAGTTGATCAACTGGGCAAGAGCTGACTAGAGTAACAAAAAGGGTAGCAAGCATTTTTTTTGTATTCATTCACAGGATGAGGGTGTTGTTGACTGGGCCAGCATTTATTGCCCATCCCTAATTGCCAGAGGGCAGTTAAGAGTCAATCACATTGCTGTGGGTCTGGAGTCACATGTACGCCAGACCAGATAAGGATTGTAGTTTCCTTCCCTAAAGAACCAGATAGGTTTTTCCGACAATTGATGAGGGATTTATGGTCATCATTAGACTTTTTATAGTGATCGTAATGAGGTAAGCCAAGTGGACCATATAGAATATGAGTTCCCTGATTGGAGCTGTTAATCCGGTCCAATCAGGGAGCCGCAGCTGATAGATATAAACAGGAGTGTCAGAGGTTCTGCTCAATCTGAGAGCTAGCTCTGAGGAAACTGGTTTAGTGTCAATGACTCTCCATGTGGAAATGAAGGGTGACTTGGTGACAGGATATCAATCGGTGGAGTTATTTCAATGGCAGTGAGAGAAAACAACACTCTTGAAGAAATTTGCTTGCAACAGTCGTCTTTGAGTTGGGGTAAACACTTCTGGCATCATGTCGTTATCTGAGAAGTTTGACTCCTTTGATCCTGCTGTCAAAGACTGGGCCTAGTATGTGGAAAGAATGCATTACATTTTCTGGAGAAATTACATTGGGGTAGATGAAAAGCAACAGTAATTCTCCTGACTGCTTGCAGACCTGCAGCTTTTTCAATTATTAGGAACCTAACATTCCCTGAGGCACCAGGTATGAAAACCTTTCAAGAGTTGATGGATTTGGTTAAGGAATATTATTATTTCAAGCTTCCTCTAATTCTGAGACGCTATTGGTTTTACTCAGCAATTTGAGAATGAGGGTAATCTGTATGGGGATTTTTGACTCTCTTGAGATGACTGAAGAGGCATGTGACTTTGGTTTAATCCTTAATGAGTCTGAGAAACTGTTTAGCATATGGGATTAAAATTAAATGCACCTAATAGCTGAAGCCCAATTGGACTTCAAGCAGACACTATAACTGGCTTAATCATTGGAAAATGGAGCATGTGAGTTGCAGGGTATTCTAATGGAAGTAGACACCCTCACCAGTCCAACTGAGCTTGGGGAACACCACTTGTGTAAAGGCAATTGCATAGACTCATTCAGGCCATATCCTGAACAGTGGGACTCTAGGTCAGCCCACAGCAAAACAGCAAAACAAAGCTAGGTTCAACCAAATGGTGAAAATTTTCTTCAGGATGCAGGCTGGCAAGCCATCGTAGTTGCTGTCAGTATGCAGACTCCAGACAGCAAATGAGTCCCACTAGACCTAAATTGAGTATCATAGAATCTTTGAATCCCTACAGGTGGAGGCAGGCCATTTAGCCCATCAAGTCCACACCAACCCAGACCCACCACCTCCTATCCTATCCTTGTAACACTGCATTCCCCATGCCTAATCCACTTAGCCTGCACATCCCTGGACACTATGGGCAATTTAGCATGGCCAATCCAACTAACCTGCACATCTTTGGATTCTGGGAGGAAACTGGAGCACCTGGAGGAAACCCATGCAGACACGGAGAATCTGCAAACTCCAGATAGTCGCCGAGGGGGGAATCAAACCCGGTCCCTGGTGCTGTGAGGCACCAGTGCTAACCACTGAGCCACTGCTGAGAATTCACAGGCCAGTATCCAGGAGACAGCACCCCAGGAAGGTCCACCAACATCTGGTTTGGAACAGTTAAATTGCTCAGCAACATCCAAATCAGAACCAGTCAAAATAAATGTCTGATTAAATGGTCACCCACTTCTAATGGAGGTCAATACTGATGTGGCCATTTCAGTGATCACAGAACCAGTCTTTAACAAAATTCACACTGAAGTCCAACCCTTAAGTTTGCAAGACCTTGGCTAGGTTGAGAACCTATACCATGGAACTTTTATAGATTTAAGGATCCAACTTCAGTTCTGGTCTCTTGAGAAGCAGCTGATTCAGTTACCACTGATTGCAGTAAAAGGCTCAGGCCCAGGCTTGATGGGGCAGAATTGGTTGAGAAAGATTCACCTTGATTAGCGCAACACTTTCAATTAGAAAATTGCTGCTTAAGTGAAGTCCTAATTAAGTACTGGGAAATTCTTTCAGGGAGGTCTAGGGGCTATCAAAGGAGCCAAGGCCACCTTGCATATTGACCAGGAAGCAATTTCATGATTCTGCAAGGTCTGCCCAGTGCTATTTGCCTTGTGGACAAAAGTAGAGGCCGAAATCAGGAGGCTGCAAAGCAAAAGAATCATCAAACCAGTTCAGTTTGCAGAATAGGCAGCACTGGTCATACCAATTGTGAAGGCTGATGGGTCAGTTTGTCTTTGTGGGGATCTTAAACAGTCAACCACAGTTCATGGCTGTTTAAATATCTAATCCCTTGCTTGGATGATTCGTACACAAAGCTGGCAGGGGAGCTGTCCTTCACGAAGCTGGACATGAGCCATGCGTATTTGCAGTTGCAGTTGGATGAGGATTCCTGAAAGAATGCTACAGTTAACACCCATAAGGGTATCATACCAATGTACGAGACTGCTATTTTTCAGCAGACGATGGGGAACATCTTATAAGGTCTACGCTGCTTTGCCATTTATCTAGACGACCTGCTAATAACAGAAGGCCAATAAGGGACATGTAGAGAATGTTTCTCCCAGGCGGGCATATGCCTTAGAAGGGAAAAATGTGTTCCAGGCACCCCAGTGAGCTACAGAGTCAACAAAACTGGGTTACACCCGTTGGAAGATAGTGAGTGATCAAAGGTGCCCTGGCTTCCAATCTGTACTGGGGCTTAGGTCTCTTCTTGGGCTGGTGAATTATTATGGAAAATTTATACATAATCTGTTGTTCATCCTGGCATCTTTGCATCAACTCTTAAAGGGTCAGCCTTGAAAATGACCACGTAGCCAAGCCATAGCTTTCAGGGAAGTAAAGAAATGGCTATCAAACTCTAAGGTGTTCGGCACACTATGATCCCAAGTAAGATCTGGTATTAACATGCAATATTATGGGGCACAGGTAACACACGAGGGAATCAACTCTGGCTGTTGGGGAGGCTTTAAACTGGTAGGGGAATGGGGCATGAAGCAAATGTAAAGTCCAGAGCAAGGACTAATCAGATGTAGATGGAATGCCAGGACAGTCCAGCAGTTGGAGAAGACATGGGCCGTATAAGACGAATGGGAGATCTGGAAAGCTAAATTGTATCTATTTTAATGTAAGGAGCTTGACTGGGTAAAGCAGATTAACTCAGAGCATTGATCACCAAGTGGGAATATTGTGTTATTGCAATCAGAGACATAGTTGAAGGCAGGATAGCGCTGGCAGCTCTACTTTCCAGGGTATAGAAGTTTCAGGCAGTATGGTAGGTGGGGGTGAGTGATTTGGGGGGGTGGAGGAGTAAGAGAAGTGGGACCATTTCATTATTGATAATGGAAACCATCACTGCAGTAATTATGGAATAAGTCTCAGAAAAGGCCATCTGGGTAGACTTAGAAATAAAAAGAGGCAATTACTTTGCTGGGATTATACTACAGGCCTCCCAACAGTCAGAGACCAATATATAGAGGAGCAGATATGTAAGCAAACACAAAGGTGTGACAAACAGAGTTATAGTTGTAGGGACTTCAACTTTCCTAACATTATCTGTGATTGTCTTAATGTGAAAGGATCAGATGGGGTGGAATTTTCAAAGTGCATCCAGGAGAGCTTTTTGTGCCAATATCTAGACAGTCCTGCTAGAGATGGGGCAGTGCTAAATCTAATCCTAGGGAATGAAGCCAGTACAGTGGTTTAAGTTTCAGTGGGTGAGCATTTTGGGGACTGTGACCATAACCCTATAAGCTTCAAAGTTATTATGGAAAGGGAAAAGGATAATGCAGGAGTTAAGTGTCTAATTTGGGAGAAGACTATTTTCAATATCATTAGGCAGGATCTGGCAAACATAGACTGGGAGCAGCTACTTGTGGGTAAGCCTACATTTGGAAAATAGGAGTCTTTTAAAAGTAGAAAAGTGAGAATTCGGGGCCAATGTCTTCCTTTAAGAGTGAAGGGCAAGGAACCTTGGAATATCAGGGGCTATCAAGAGTTTGATAAAGAAAGTGTGGGAGAAACAGGGGAGGCCCTTCAAAAGTGTAGAGAGTGTAGGAGATTGCTTAAAAAATTAGAAGGACAAAGAAGGGCCAGGAAATATCCTTGGCAGATTAGATCAAAAACCTCAAGGCTTTTTTTTACAGTTATATTAAGAGCAAGAGGATTATCAGGGAAAGGGTAGGACTTACTAGAGATGAAAGGGACAACCTGTGCATGGAGCCAGTGGCTGTGGCTTAGGTTTTAAACAAATACTTCTCATCTTTATTCACAGGAGAACGAAATTGCAGCCTGGGATTTCACTTGGGATGGTGAGGTTCTAGAACATGGGAAGATTAATAAGGAGGAGGTTTCAGCGTTTTAACAGACATACAGGGGCACATATCCCTAGGGCCTCCATCTTGGCACACTTACACCTGCTATAGAAAAAGCATCAGCCTTGGAAATGGTCACGTAGCCAAGAAGTAGCCTTTAGGGAAGTGAAAAGGCAGCTATCATCATCTAAGGTGTTCACCCACTACGATCCGAAGCAAGAGGTGGTGCTGACATGCAATGTCTTCCCATACAG